TTGCAAGACAATGCTTGACCACATGTCCCACAAACAACGCTGCTCAGACTATAGAAGCTGGACTTGGAAACTCTCTGTCATCCGCCACATTCACCAGACCCTGCTGCACCCACTGACTACCACTTCTTCCAGGCTCTGGACCACCTCTTGCAAGGAAAAATATTCCATTCTCAACAAGCTGTGGAAACGTCTTTCATGATTTCATCACCACTCACTCTCTAAGCTTCTTCGCTGCTGGCATAAACAAGCTACCGTTAAGATGGCAAAACTGTGTCGATAGTTTAGGCGCACACTTTGATTAATTGTACTGCTTCTTATTTGAGATATAATAAACTACACTTTTGATTTGAAATTGGACATTTCATATTTAATGACCTAATAACAGATTTTTTTTAACAAATTTACTACAGCTTTTACATCCATTCTCTATTTACATTAAGTAGTACTCTCACTATAGATTTGCTTCAGTGATGCTATCATTGACCAAAACTCTTTTGTAACATCTTTTAGTGAAACAGACTTGAAAGCACACAGTACATCACAAGATACATACTCCACTTGAGCAGAAATACACTCAATTTGCTTACCATGCCTAGAATAGTGTCTAGCATAAGCAGCTATTCAGTGTGTTTGTGGTATTAAAAAAATAGATTGTAGCAAAAGTTCATTTAAAGATGGATTGATTTTTGTAAAAACAGTCAACAGCCATTCAGAGCTCAGTGTAGTAAATAAGATGTGTCATAACGCTGGCGAATATCATTATGAAAAGAAAACCCACAGTCTATGACTATAAAACAATACACCAGAATTTCTTGTACGAATCATAAAATCATAGTTGAGTTACTTCTGCATCAATTTAGGGATTCACTTCTTACAATTAACCAGGCCAAGTCTGCTCCAGTTTCAGAGCATCTGCTCCTGCTGTTCCCACTGCCTGATACATAGGCATATCTTAAAGATACTGCAGAGGTTTGGCTCCAGAGCACGGCTATAAAGTAAATATCACAAAAAAATAAGTCACATAAATTCTTTGGTTTCCTAGTGTACATAAAAGTTATGTTTGCCCTATACTGCAGTTTATTAAATGTGTAATAGCATTGTCTTAAAAAATGTATACACCTTAATTAAAGAATACTTTCTTGCTAAAAAATTCTAATGATCATTTGAGCCTTCAGCGAGTCATAATATTTTTGCTGGTGGGGTATTTGCCTCATTTGGGTGGGAAACCTGTGGCCCTGGGGCCACATGTAGCCTCTGGATCCTTGAGTACAGCCTTTTGACTGAATCCAAATTTTACAGAACAAATCCTTTTATTAAAAGGGGTGCAGCAGAGAAAGATGAAGCTTTTCTTGCCTCCTTTGGTACATAAAAAAGAACAATCTTTTTTTTTGTTTGTTTGTTTGTTTTTTTTTTGAGACAGAGTCTCACTCTTTTGCCTGGGCTAGAGTGAGTGCCGTGGCGTCAGTCTAGCTCACAGCAACCTCAGACTCCTGGGCTCAAGTGATCCTCCTGCCTCAGCCTCCCGAGTAGCTGGGACTACAGGCATGCACCACCGTGCCCGGCTAATTTTTTTCTATATATTTTTAGTTGTCTGATTAATTTCTTTGTATTTTTAGTAGAGACGGGGTCTTGCTCTTGCTCAGGCTGGTTTTGAACTCCTGAGCTCAAACAATCCTCCCGCCTTGGCCTCCCAGAGTGCTAGGATTACAGGCGTGAGCCACCACGCCCGGCCAAAAAGAACAATCTTGAAATCAGAAGGCTGCAGGTTCCCCACCCCTGGCAATGCTGTTTGATAGCATTTTACCCACAGTAGACCTTTTTTCAAAATTGGAGTCAATCCTCTCAAGCTCTGCTGCTGCTTCATCAATTAAACTTACGTAATATTCTAAATCCTTTTTTGGCATTTCCACAATGTTCACAGCATCTTCACCAGGAGTATATTCCATCTCAAGAAACTAGCCAGACATGATGGCAGGTGCCTATAGTCCCAGCTACTCAGAAGGCTGAGGCAGGAAGATCACTTGAGCCCAGGAATTAAAGGCTAAAGCAAGCTATGATTGCACCACTGCATTCCAGCCTGGGTAACAGAGCAAGACCCTGTCTCTAAGAAAAAAAAAAAAAAGAAGAAGAAAGAAAGAAAAAGAAATCACTTTCTTTGCTCATCCATAAGAAGCAACTCCTCATCTATTCAAATTTTATCATGGGATTGCAGCAATTAAGTCACATCTTCAGGCTCCACTTCTAATTCTAGCTCCCTTGCTATTTCCACAAAATCTGCAGTGACTTCCTCCACTGGAGTCTTGAATCCCTCAAAGACATCCATGAGGGTTAGAATTAATTGCTTCCAGATTTCTGTTAATGTTGATATTTTGACCTCCTTCCATGTATCACAAATGTTCTTGAGGACATCTATTAATAGAATGGTTAATCCTTTCCATAAGATTTTCAATTTACTTTACCCAGATCCATCAGAAGAATCGCTATTCATAGCAGCTAAAGTCTTATGAAATGTATCTCTTAAATGATAAGACTTGAAAGTCAGAATTATTTCTTGATCCATGGGCTGCAAAATGAGTATTGTGTTAGCAGGCATGCTAACAACATTAAACTCCTTGTACATCTCCATTAATTAAACAACATTAATCTCCTTGTACATCTCCATCAGTGTTCTTGGGTGACTAGGGGCAATGCCAATGAGCAGTAACATTTTGAAAGGAATTTTAAGGGCTCTAGGATTTTCAGAATGGTAAATGAGTATTGGCTTCACCTTAAAGGCACCAGTCACATTAGCTTCTAATAAGAGAGTTAGCCTGTCCTTTGAAGCCAGGCATTGACTTCTCTTCTCTTGCTATCAAAGTCCTAGATGTCATCTTCTTCCAATAGAAAGGCTATTTTGTCTACATTGAAAAATCTGTTGTTTAGAGTACCTTCATTGATGATCTTAGCTGGACCACTTGCTACAGTTTCTCCATCAGCACTTGCTGCTTCACCTTGCACTTTTATGTCATGGAGATGGCTTCTTTCCTTAAACCTCATGAACCAACCTTCGCTAGCTTCAAAATGTTCTTTTGCAACTTTCTCATCTTTCTCAGCCTTTACAGAATTAAACAGAGTTAGGGTCTTGCTCTGGATTAGGCTTTGGCTTAAGGGAATGTTGTGGCTGGTTTGATCTTCCATCCAGATCTCTAAAACTTTGTCCACATCAGCAATAAGGCTGTTTCACTTTCTTATCATTTCTGTGTTCACTGGAATAGCACTTTTCATTTCCTTCAAGTACTCCTTTGCATTCACAACTTGACTGTTTAGCACAGGAGTCCTAGATTTCAGCCTATCTCAGCTTTCAACATGCCTTCCTCACTAAGCTTAATCATTTCTAGTTTTTGTTTTCAAGTGAGAGACATGTGACTGAGACATACCACTCCTTCCTTCACTTGATAACTTAGAGGCTATTGTAGGGTTATTAACTGGCCTAATTTCAATACTCTTGTGGCTCAGGGAATAGGAGAGAAAGAGAGACAGGGGAACGGCCAGTCAATGGAGCAGTGAGAACACAGGACATAGCAATTAAGTTTGCTCACCTTCTACGGGCACATTTCACAGCACCCTAAAACAAATACAACAGTACCAACAAAGATCACTAATCACGGAATCATAACAACAATGAAAATGTGTGAAATATTCTGAGAATTACCAAAATATAACACAGAGACAGAAAGTACAAACATTCTGTTAGAAAAATGGCACCAATAAACTTGCTGGATGCAGGGTTGCCACAAACCTTCAATTTGTTTAAAAAAAAAAAAAAAAGCAGTATCCGTGGAGCACAATAAAGTGCAACCCAGTAAAATGACACATGCATATACATGGCCTGCTCCCTCACTTCATTCAGGTCTCTGGTTAAATATTCACTTCCTCTAAAAGGTCTTCCTTCCCTCACTTCCTGACCTAACATAAAGCCATGCTGTTACTCTCTGTCCCCTGACATTGCTTTCCTTCTCTATAGGACTTGTTACTACCTGACATGTTTAAATCTATTTTCTTTATGTGATAGAGACACCCTAGTCTCTTTCACTAGAATGTTAGTTACATGATGAAAGGAACTTCATTTTATTCATTGCTGTAGCTCCAAATTTCTGCTGGATATCCAAATTTTTTTTTTTTTTTTTTTTGAGACAGAGTCTCACTGTGTTGCCTGGGCTAGAGTGCCATGGCGTCAGCCTAGCTCACAGCAACCTCAAACTCCTGGGCTCAAGCGATCCTTCTGCCTCAGCCTCCCGAGTAGCTAGGACTACAGGCATGCGCCACCATGCCTGGCTAATTTTTTCTATATATTTTTAGTTGTCCAATTAATTTCTTTCTAATTTTAGTAGAGACGGGGTCTCGCTCTTGCTCAGGCTGGTTTTGAACTCCTGAGCTCAAACAATCCACCTGCCTCGGCCTCCCAGAGAGCTAGGATTACAGGCGTGAGCCACCGCACCCGGCCTGGATATCCAAATTTTAAATAATAAATTCAATAATTATGTGTTTATGATGAAAAAGAAAAGAAATGAGAAGAGAAATGGAAGAAGGAAGAGCAAGAAAGGTAACACAGAAGTAGCAAAAGAGGTGAAGAAACTCTGGGTGAGTCATAATTGGTTGTTTTGCTCTGTTACTCTGTTTTTAGTGTCAGTTTGAATTCAAGGCTTCCATGAGAAAATTTCAGGATGGATTGCCGTCACTTTGAAGTTTTATTTCAAAAGAAATGGGCACTCTAAAGAAATAAAGTCCACTACTTTTAGAAGCATTTGGGTAGTGTTCACTACTATAATTGCAATGGCTCTTTTAATGTCTTTCTATCTCCCCAATCCACAAGTACAAACTGAATGAATATTTGAGGACTCTTGACTAAGAGATGTACTTGAATGAATTTTAGCATGATTAGTTTGTGTTGGTATTACCATTAACATTTTTAAATTCCCATACTTAACTGACATTTGGAATTATCTATTCATATTGAATACCCGAAGCTCTTTTAGGATCTTGCTTAACGATGTCTTAGCGCAGAACGCTATAACAAAGGATCATAGAATGGGTGGCTTATACACAACAGAAATTTATTTCTCACAGTTCTGGAGGCTGGAAGTCCAATATTAGGGTGCTAGTATGATTGGTCAGGTTCTGGTGAGAGTCCTTTTCCAGACTACAGACTGCTGAGTTGTATCCTCACATGGCAGAAAGAGGGTGAGCTAGCTCTCTGGAGTCTCCTTTGTAAGGGCACGAATCCCTTTCATGAGACCCCCACCCTCGTGACCTAACCACCCCCCAAAGGCCCTACCTCCAAATACCATCACACTGGGGATTCGATTTCAACATATGAATTTTGGGGTGACACAAAGATTCAGTTCATAACAATAGACTTACATGATAAAGCTAGGAGGCAAGCCTCTGAAAATACTCGGTACTATATTACTCCTACCATGACCTTCACTTAAGGCACAAAGTTTAGTTCCTTTAAGGGTCAGCTGTGTATATCATATTTCATTAATGTTTTTGCTTCCTCAAATTGTCCATTCCTCATATATAATTTATCAACAGAGTTTTTACTAGAGAAGTCAGAGCAAAATGACATTAAGTTTTAGCAAATTTGGCAGAAAAGACAATACCATTTTCCTGATTTCTATTGTAATATTATAAATAAATTCCTTTCTTAAAAAAGTTCAGTAGTCCAGATTTAAAGTTTTAGACAAAGGAATGAGTAAAAAGTATTGTCCTGGAAGAATTTTTAAAGCACCTTTAGGATTTTGAGGCACATTTCAGAAAATCTCAATTTCTCGATTTATAGGATCAAATAGCACCCATGCACACATACCCAGACACCTAGTCTCAGGAAATAATACTCCATCATATTCTATTTATAAATAAAATCTTGTAATTGAATCACATCTTTGTTCTCTACCGTATGAAGTCTAATATAGTAATAATAGTACTAATATAGTATTAATAGTAATTTAGTAATAAAACATATTTCATGCTTTTTAACTGTTCTTAAATGATATCTATTGCATGTTAGGCCAATGTTCATTATACGCACTTTTATTACGTAGCCTCGCAACCTTAAGCAGCTTATGCTTCTTCTCGGAAGCAAGAACTTCGGGTGTGGAGGCAGAAGCACATGCTATTGGTGAGTTACCTGTACCAGGTAATTTTTTAGGAAATGTCATAGAGTAGGAGGTACGCCATCTAGTCCGACATGCCACATCCCTCTCTTTATGTAGCAACTGTTCATCCATCAGCAATGTTATGACTTGCTTAGATTTTTCTCGAATATAATAACCTGAAAAATACATTGAATCTTTTTAGAAAAAGAAAATACTAGTTAAGGCTATAATCACTTTTTATTCTATAGAAAATTAAGAAAAAATAAAAATGTGAGCAGTGAAAAAACATATAGCAAATAAGGAATTGTCAATAAGTATACTTCTCTTCTTAAAGTTTAAGTAGTAAAATCATTAATATATGATAAAACCGTATCATACGTTGGCATTACATTTTTCACTTTAAGCATATTATTGGATTTTCCTTTTGAAAGCAATACATACTCTGCAATAATCAAACAATATAGGCATACAAAGAAGAGGAATGAATTAGACCTAGATATACTGCCCTAGACGTATGACCATGACATATGGCTAAAGATTTAGAGTAATATACGTAGTGCGGTTCAAAGCTGTAAAGCATAGGGGGAAATAAAACACTATATACATACATGGAAGAGAGAAGAAAGTAGAGAAATACATAGATTGCTATGGTTTGAATGGATCCCTCCAAAATTCAGGTGTAACCAATGTGATAGTATTAAGAGGTGGGGCCTTAAAGAGGTGATTAGGCTATTAGGACTCCTCCTTTGAACAGGATAAAGGCCCTGATAAAAGAGAACATTAATCTCTTGCTTGCCTTCCACCTCCGTCACGCAAGGACACAGCATTCCTCCCCTCCAGAGGATGCAGCACCAAGGCCCCCTCTTGGCAGCTGAGAGCAACCCTCCCCAGACAACCCAAACTGCTGTGTCTTGACCTTGGACACTCCACCCTCCAGAACTGTGAGAAAATAAATTTCTGTTCTGCATAAACTACCCAGGCTGTGGTATTCTGTTATAGCAGCACAAACGACTGACAGACAGACAGATATGCAGGCAGGCAGACTGTGTACTCACAACGTTGTTAATATCTGTTGCATTAAAGGTGTACAACTGGGGTGAGACAAGAAAAGGGAGAGCAATTGGCTCTTGACATACATCCTATCAAAAAAACTTGTTGCCATTAATAGAGTGACAGAGCACAGTCAAAGACCAGAATTCTAGTGATGACTCTGCCTTAACCAGCTGTATCACTTTGGGCCAATCAGATGATCTGTCTGGACCTGAGTCTCCTATTTGAAAAGCAGTTCATCTGTTCAGTCTAATTCACAGATACAAAAGTATACTGTAACCTGTAACTCACTCAAATATAAGGCATTAGTATTATTTTCAACCTTCTCCCACAAGAAATGATAAAGGAAATCGCCTACCTCTCTGAATCTTGGGACCAACCCACATAAACATGTTAGGCTTTCCCAAGCCATCTTCCAGAAGTAAACCGAAAAGTCCCTAAAGATCCACTAGTATGTTTATTTCAGCCTCCAGTTATGATGAATTAAAGTATTAATGTTTCCTAACTATAATTTACTAGCAATAGGAGTAATGAGAAATGGTCAAATTCAGGGTATATTTAGATGACAGGGGCCAACAAACAATGTTCTCTAACTGCCAGTTGCTTCATTAGGATTGATACAGTGTCAAAAACCTTTGCTCAAGTTGCCATCTTTTCCAAGATTATTTTATCTAATTTCATTTCTTAGTCATTTCTTCCTTCCAAATTTATTTTATAACTGCTTCAAATCTTATCATTCTAAACACCCTTAACCTCCTATGATTAGTTTGCAGTCCATAATCAAAAAATCCCATAACGTTTTGGGTTACCACTTAGTATCATATGATAAACCTAAGTCTGCTGTGAATTTTAGCCTCTGGGGACAATATGTCAGACACTATCTTTTCCCTGGAAAATTGACATAGCTTGGTTTTGGAGGCATAAAAAACATGTTTTCCCATTCTTAACTTCAGGAACTCATCTCCTTCCATTTTCCCCCTCACTGCCTCTACTCTAGCCACTCCAGTGCCTTATTCTGCAATCCTACCATGCTCTTCATCCGCTTAGAGCCATGTACTGGCTGTCGCTTCTGCCAAGAACTCTTTGCGTGGCTAGATCCCTGATTCATTCAGGTCTCTACTCAAATGTCACCTCAGAGAAGACTTCCTTCTGCCCACCCTCGCTAAAACAGCCCCATCCCTATCACTCTCTATTCCCTTAGCCTGCTTTATTTTCCACCTTGGTATTTATCACTACATAATATTATATATTCATTGTTGTTTGTTTCCTTACCAAGAATATAAACTCCATGAGGGCAGAGAAGTCTAGAAGAGTGATTGGCACATAGCAGATGTTCAATAAATATTTATCGAGTGAATTAATCAATAAAGGAACAAACTACCAGAAAGTCTCTAATTTTCTCTTGACATAGTGCAAATGGCACCAGATTGATGAAAAATACTGAGAGCCAATTTACAACTTAGCTGCCTAAAAAGTTGCTTATCCTTAAATTATTTCTTGCAACACTTCTATAATTAGGTTAGAACTATTATAGAAATTATGGGACAGATGTGGAATACTCTTCTGGGAGTCTGTGTGCATTGGTGCAATTTAAGGGCAGTTGCAATAGTTCCAAGAGACAAGCAGTTACACCAGCTGCAATGGTGGAGGACTTCCCTCCCAGAGCATCAGGGCCCCTCCTTGAGGTAGCAGTCAGCAGCACCAGCCAGGTCAGGCCACAGCAGTTTACCAAAAATAGAGAAGAAATCACCCAGAAGAAAGTTTCTGGCCACTGCCCTAGCTCCCTCTCTCCCACCCTAGAAATGTTGGGTATTAACCTGGCTGTTCTAAAGCATCAAAGCTAAGAGTGAGAAAATCCAAGAACTCAATAAACCTGCTTCAAGAAGTTAAATAATAATAGTAATAATAAGATGGCATCTACTGACTTCTAACCAATATGTTTCTTTTCTTCTGAAAAGAAAGGAAGGAGGACATCGTACTAAAATAGAATAGTACTGGAAATAGAATAAACTTAGGCAGCAAAAGAGAGACATGGAGGCAGGTAGAAAATACGGATTCTCTGAAACAAGAAACTATGCCAAAAGATCAATATCCAAAGACATTACATAAAACACATCGAGATGAAGGGGTTGTTAGTTGAATAGCAGGTTAAAATGAAGATAAAGCTATATACTGTTTTGATCAGGAATCTTTTGGTTATAAGGGACAGAAATTCTACTTGAACTAGGTAAAGCAAAAGTCACGGAAAATCAAGGGTTGCAACTGGGTCTCAGGTACAAATGAAGCAGAGACTAGAAAATGACCAGAACCCTTTTTCCCTCTCCCATCTCTGCTTCTCTGTGTAAAGCCTTTGTTTCCTCTTCCTGCAGGTTGGCTTTTTTTATCTGGATACAGAGATGGCCACTGACAGCTCCAATTCACACCTCACACTGCCACCTGAGAAGTCTCCCTCTTCCTTCCTTTGAATTTGAAGTATCAGGAGAATGACTCTGAGTGGCCCACCTTGAAACAGTCACATGCCCATCACTTTGCCCATAGAGTGCAACGCTACAACTAGCAACCTCCAATAGAACACAGTGGAGTGAGGTGGGATCCACATGACAGAAAAATGAACAAGTAGAAAGCCAACTTGAAGAGTCCTCCCAAACACAAAGTAAAGGACAAGGAGATCAAATTACTAGAGCACTTACAAGAGATCAACATCCAAGGACATTCACTTATGCAGTCAGTTAACCATTTCTTGAACACTTCAGTTTCAGGAAATGCTCTAAGGAATAGGAGCACAGGTGAGGAAAAAAAGAGACAAGGTCCCTGCACTTGTGGCACTTATACTGTAGTCGGTTGAAACATCCAATAATCATAAACAAGGTAATTTCAGACAAAAAATAAATGCTTTAAAGGAAACAAAGAGGGGTGATATGTTAAACATTAATTTGGGATGTGGTCATGGAAAGTCTTACTGAGGAGATAATATAGCTCAGTCTTGAACAACAAGAAAAAGCCAGCCACATAAAGACAGAGCACCAAGCAGTGGAACAACAACACCTCTTCGGGGAGGCCTCCTCTGACAGTTAGCCACCCCTCCCACCATGCCCTACACATAGACCCCTGCCTCCGACTTGGTCAGGTTCTGCTTTCATACACTACATAGCACCCTACACTTGCCTTTTTTAGTACTTCCAGTTTATAATTGCTCATTTAATAAATGTCTTTTTCCTCCATTAGACTATAACATCCATGAAGGCCAAAACAATATTTGTTTAAGAGACACTTAAGAAAAGTTTGTGAAATGAATGAATATGCTGAGGAAAAATTTCCCAAATGCTGGAGAGGAGTCTATACAAGTTTACGAAGGAATCTTATGTAAAGAGATTTGTAAATATGGTAAATTCAAAGATTTGGGACATTGAGATGCACCACCAGGAAAAACACGTATAATAAAATCTTTTTTAAAAACTAGGTATTAGGCTTCAAATAGTTATAAAACATCTTAATACTCCTATCTCTACTCCTGGC